TATCCCTAGAATATGGGAAATTTCCTAACAAATTAAAAACAAGTACTGTTATTCCAATACCAAAAGTTCCTAACACAACAAAAGCATGTGAGTTTAGACCAATAAATACTTTACCATCTCTTGAAAAAGTTTTGGAATTAGCAGTTTACAATCAGCTATTAGAGTACTTTGAAATGAATCATATTTTATTTAGTAACCAATCAGGTTTTCGTAAAAAATATTCATGTGAAACGGCTTTGCAACTTTCATTAACGAAATTTAAATACAACATTGATAATAACAAATTTACGGTAGCTGTATTTCTCGATTTAAAGAGAGCATTTGAGACCATTGACAGGAATATCCTACTTAAAAAGTTGCAAGGTTATGGAGTTGATGGTACTGTTCTTGTTTGGTTAACAGAATATTTGACTGACAGAGCACAGCGAGTAAGAATTGGTGGATCAGTATCTGACACATGTATTAATGATCTTGGTGTTCCTCAAGGCAGTGTGCTTGGGCCTTTATTATTTCTTATCTACATAAACGATATTACACTATTTGTTAATTCTGAATTTATTAATTTATTTGCAGATGATACTCTTTTAGCATGTAGTGGTCATAGTTTAACTCAGTGTATAAATACTATGAACGAAACCTTGAAGTGTGTTAATAAATACCTGCAAGTTAACAAATTAAAATTAAATGTTAATAAAACAAAAGCTATGATAATCACAACCAAATATAGGTATAATAATATTGACATTAATGGTTGTCATTTAACTATCGATAATGAAAATATTGAATTTGTCACTGAAATTAAATATCTTGGTTTCTTGCTTGACAATACACTCTGTTTTAATACTCATTTTAAATATGTTTATAATAAAATATCTAAGAAACTATTTTTCTTTTCAAGAATTTGTAGTCATTTAACTATGCAATCTAGAGTTACAGTATACAATACTATAATTAGACCACATTTTGAGTACTGTCCATCAGTACTTAGTATGTTTAAATTGAATAAGATATCACAGTTGCAGAAGTTACAGAGCCGAGCCATGAGAATTATATTAAGATGTAATAAATATACTCCCATTGATTTTATGCTATCTGCTCTTCAGTGGTTTTCTGTAAAAAATCGATTATACTACTGTACAATGGTTTTTATATATAAGCTTATAAATAATTTGTTACCAGATTATTTTAACCAGTATATTATAAGGAATCATGAAATTCATGACTACTTTACTAGAGGTGCCAATAACTTCCATGTTTGGAGAACAAATTATTGTCATACAATGAATTGTCTATTTAATGAAGGGGTTGTTAATTTCAATAGATTACCAGTAAAGTTAAAAAGATGCCAGTCACTTGTTGCATTTAAAAGAGAGCTTGTTAAATACATAAAAGTAAATAATATGTGTTAATTGATCCTTAGTTTGCCTATTCTCTTACTGTGTGCTTGTATTTATATATTTAAATTTAAATTGATTTGTATATTAGGATATCCTATTTAATAAATTATTATTATTATAATAGTCGCGAATATTGTAATTATCTTTTAGCGGTGTTGTTTATTTCTTAAAATTTTGGCCAGACGCTACCGAATGATATGACCATTTTCTCAACCGCATTCGCAAATTTTTGGCTTCTAAAATCGTCGGTGGTTGGTTAGTGACCTTTTGGTACGAGGGTTTATTTAATTATTTTTTTCGTAGGAGACAAAATACCCAAAAAAAAACAGAGATAACTTTAGACAATATAAAAATTTCAAATTAATTCTTCTAGAAAAAATCCAATAGTTTTTACGATTTTCCTTTACTGGTTTGGTCAAAGCCAACAAAACACCCTGTACCTCAAAAAAGATTAACAATAAACGGTAAATATGCGTACTTTTCGATCCGCGCTATTTGGAAACGGGCCGTAACCCCGACCCCTCGTATCATTTCCATAATCCCGTTATTGATATAATAGGAACCACCATTGGACCGTGAAACGCACCTTGGACGTTTGTCGATGTTTTTTTCCACCCCCATCCGAGGGGGTTTTACAGCAGGTGAAAGCTTCAAAGTCTCGCGCGGTAAATGCTTAAACAATCGTTTCCTGTTAGCCTTGTTATTAAATCAATGACCTTTTTGTCAAACGGGGGGGTGTTTTGTCCGAGGGTGGGTTCAGGTGTACGGCAAAACGTTTTAGTTTCATGAACAAGTTGTCTAGAGGGTGTTTTAGAACTCTGCAACTCGATATCAGCAAACGAGAAGATATATTACTTTTTCTTTGGTGATGGATTGCTCAAAATTTAATGGTTGATCACGTAGACTACCTTCTACAGGGTCGGAAAGTCCCCATGGTTCATCGGCCGTTACGTGAGAGCGATAAAGAAAGTCATAGAAATCCGTGCGATAGAGAAAGATGGCTATAATGAAAGCGTCTAATAGTCACCGCCCATTTCGCCCTTCCACAAATAAGATCCACTTCTTATCGCACGGATTTCTATGACTTACTTTATCGCTCTCACGTAACGGCCAATGAACCATGGGGACTTTCCGACCCTGTATATATATTTTTCAACAATTTTGTTGAATAATAACGTTGTGACGTCATACCGCACGTTAGCGACTAACCCACATACCTGGCTGGATCTCACATAATAACTGTATTTGTTATTTCAGTTTGGTCAAATTGACCAAACTAGAAGTGACCGTGATTTAAACTAACTTTAGGTTAAATAAAACACACATCTACTCCTTAAATGTTGACTTTTGACATCTGTTCAATTTCAGTTTAATTAGGCTGTTGTTGTCAATCATACTGTGCCCAACATTTTTACTATGAACATATCTTCTTCGGATGAATCCATATCCATTATCAACGGCTTATTTTTATTATTTAGATTTATTATTATTATTATTTGCAGGTTATGTTTTGTTCGGTTATCTTGTTCACTTACTAACCACGATCTTAGGCTAGGTTAGATCGGAAAGGGACTGATTTTGGACATATTTTGGTTTGTTGTGAATGAATGTGACCAAGTGTGTAAAACAAATACAGCTAATATGGGGGAAAACTTGAACTATAATACAAATAAATAACCTATTACAATAGCTATTAACACAGAGCCGTCATGTCAGGTCGAGCCAATCGAACGGTATGACGTCAACAGCTTGGATCGTTTCAAACATTTTAATTTAATTGTAAATTATAAGTATATTACGATTAATATTAAAGCATCGACCTGATTTTTACACCACATATTTAGGAGATTAAGAGTTTACAGAAAATATAAAAATATAAATTAAATATTAATGAATGAACCCTTTGCAATGTTATAAAGCATCATCTGATTTATTTATTTTTTTCGTACTTTTGGTAGAACAAACGCAACGATCTTAGTATGGATTTACAATTTATTACAGCAACGAATTGTTGAGAAATGAGACTCAGTGTATTACTTTTTTCATCTTGGGTTTTTCATCTTGTCTGTTGTGGTGGATATTTGCAAAGCATCTGGTAGTTTTTAGTATGTCATAGATAAATTTTTAGATAAACATGACGTTACATTATCACTTATTTAGGTTAATGTTTCAATTTACATGGTATTTTCCACTTACTACTGTTCCAAAACTCAGATTACTGGAAAAAAGCGGTTCAAGCTCAAAATTTGTTTTATTAATCTTACCACGCCACTGCGTTGCAACCTTTAAATTCATCCATTTTATTAAATTTTCATACATAAACGAGTTTTAAGCGTTTGATGTTATGTTGCTGTAAAAAATTTAACGTCACTTTATGTAGAAATGTAGGTAAGATTATGAAAATTCCTGCAAAAATATATTTTTTTTTGCTAAACCGCATTGGGAATTTACGAACGTTAATGGCAAGGGAGTTACATGATAGTTTTACATAATTCTTAAACAAAAAAGAAGGTAATGCTGTGAGCGAGTTGTTTAACAATGAGCTAATTAACAAATTTTATCCTCCCATTCATTAAAAAGTCACGCTAACGCTAATGTTTTTCTGAGAACAACGATCTTGTAGCCACGGTTCCGTCACTGTTCTGCTTCTTCTTCTGCGAATCTGCGACTCGTAAATTCGACGGTGTAAATCGGACTTTGACTCGATGACAGTGATGACACTTGTGAAATGTTTTTTCTAAGCTTGTGAAGTTTGATGTTTTTAAAACGTCTTTTTTGATGATAAGCGTTTAAAAAGAGGACGTTTTATTTTGTTGTTGAAGAACAGACATCTCTTGTCAACAAGCGATTAGTTCTATCGAATTAAAATGTAAGTATCTACGTTCATTGAGGTTATATCGTGTTAATTCAGTGATTTTTTCTGTGTTTATTTGTACTAAACATTGTTTTTCTTCGAGAAATACTAAATTCTATACGTAAAATGGCATTTCAAGTGTCTGTTTCACATAGTAATCTACTCACGTTTTGTCCTATCATTGAGAAGAATACATAATTGGCCTTATACAGTTATCAACCTAAAAAGGTTGTGTTGCGTTTTATTTGTTACTTAAATAATCGGAGTGAATTAATGCGTAGCGAAGATCAGTGGCAAGGACGAAGTTGCTAAATTTTAAATTTAAATTTATGTCTAATGAGGGGTCAACAGAGGTCAAACATAGGTACCAAAGGATAAAGATTACCGAGTTGAAAAAAAATTGTCGTTTTTCAACTTTCCTTGTTTGGAATTATGATTTAATTACCTCACAGACTGAGTATTAGATTTTAAAGTAGTAAAGTTCCGACTCAGTTCAATTTCGGTTGTGGCAAGAATAGGACCTACTCGTCTAGTTTTTGAGACCTGTTAAAATAAGTGAAACGATGTAAGTACAAACAGAAAGAATATTGGCATATAAATTATGCAAAGTTTACATTGATTTCATTATTAATTTAAAAAATCTATACAAGTTACAATAACTAAATAATAGTACTTAATATTAAATTTTTTTTTTTAAGATTTCATGAGGAATAATGTTAGTTTAGTGTGATCATAAAGATGCAAGCGTAAAACGACAGTTTCAAAATTATTTATTACTTCGTTCTAAAAATTTTGCAACATTTTAACAATTTAGATTTTGATGCTAAAATAAAAATGCCATTTCAAATTTTTTTTTTATGAAACGCATGTTTGGTACAGAGTAATACTTTAAATATTATGTATAGAGTAGAACATAATTTGTTGCAGATATTAAACCCGCAATGCTAAAAATATAAATCGAGATGGCCGCGAGAAACAAGCCGGGGGCCAAACACGATGACCACAGCGTGGAGACGTTGGCCGAGGTCTTCCGCTGCTTCATCTGCATGGAAAAACTCAGAGATGCCCACCTGTGTCCCCACTGTTCCAAGCTGTGCTGCTACGTCTGCATTCGCAGGTGGCTCACCGAGCAGAGGTCTCAGTGTCCCCATTGCCGAGCTTCCTTACACTTGCACGAACTGGTGAACTGTCGGTGGGTCGAGGAGGTGACCCAGCAGTTGGATACGTTGCAGGTGGTCAGTCTGAGCAGCAACCGACAGGAGGAAAACGACCGAGATGGCTGTTCGACCCACTTGGAGAAGTTGTCGGTGTACTGTTGGACGTGCCGTTGCTGCATCTGCCACCAGTGCGCGTTGTGGGGCGGTACCCACTCCGGTCACACCTTTAAGCCGTTGGATGAAGTGTACGAACAGCACGTGACGCAGATTAAAGACGAGGTGGCTCAGCTTCGTAGACGATTGATGGAACTGATAAGTATCGTTCAGGAAGTCGAGAGAAACGTCGAATCCGTAAGGTCGGCTAAGGACGACAGGGTCAGGGAGATCCGGAACGCCGTAGAGTTGATGATAGCTAGACTTGACTCGCAACTTAAGACGAAATTATTGACCCTTATGGGTCAAAAAGATTCACTTACGCAAGAGACGGAACAATTGGAGCATCTGTTGCACGAGATCGAGCATCAACTTCACACTTGCACCCGCTCGGAACTGATCTCCAAAAGCAGCGACCTCTCCCGGATGATACACGCCATCAGGAAGAAGCCGATGACTAGCTTTGTGACCGCGCCGGTACCAGCGGATTTCCACAGCGAAATCGTACCCTCCTATGACAGCAGCACGTTCGTGATGCACTGCTTCTCGCAGCTGCAGAGGAAAGCAGACCCGGTGTACTCCACGCCGTTGCATTGCAACGGACTGTGTTGGAGACTGAAGGTGTATCCGGACGGTAACGGCGTCGTGAGGGGCAACTACCTGTCCGTTTTCCTGGAACTCAGCGCAGGGTATCCCGAGACGTCCAAGTACGAGTACCGCGTGGAAATGGTGCACCAGGCCAGCAGGGATTCCTCGAAGAACATCGTTAGGGAGTTTGCGTCCGACTTCGAAGTGGGCGAGTGCTGGGGCTACAACAGGTTCTTCCGATTGGATCTCCTGGCCAGCGAGGGTTATCTCAACGTCGCTTTGGACACCTTGGTGCTTAGGTTCCAAGTGAGGGCCCCCACGTTTTACCAGAGGTGCCGCGACCAGCAGTGGTACATCAACCAGCTGCAGACGGTGCAGCACCAGTACATCTCGCAAATAAACGAGTCGAAAGAACGCTTGGCTGCGGAGATATCCAGGAACGCAGTCGCCGCTACGCTAGGCGTTTCAAAGAAACACGGCGACGTGACCAACATCGCGGTGGTGAAGAACATGTACAACATACCGGCTCCGATAAGTAATATGGACCCGCACGGCATCCCGACGACTTCGCAAATGGCTTCCGACAGCTCGTTCTCTAGCGATCTCGCTAACTTTACCAAAAACTTGACGATGCCGAGCTGCGGCACATCCAACAACCAAACGAGAAATGAAGACTGCCCTTGTTCGTCGAAAACTAAAAGCAACGTTACAGAAACTAACTCGAAACAAGTAATTACCAAGAAATCAACCGAGAATACGACACAGCAGGAACCACACCAGCTGTTAGGATTGGGGGTGTCACTGAGTTCACCAAATCTTTTAAATACTGCTGTGAATTCGTTGCTTTTGTCGAGCAGTAGCAGCAGCGAAAGCGACCTCAGCGAACCGGGACACCTAACGGACGACTTTGAACACCAAGCGACTTTGATCAGTACGGGCGATAATTCCAATGACGAGAACGACGTGGACGTAGAAACTATGTCCGGCGAGAACGACGTGGAGTACGCGGAATTCTCCATGGCCCAGAGGATGATGGCGAGAGACCCGAGCTCAGCGAATAGTAGCGTAGCGGGCGTTGCTGCGGCTTTATCGCCCACGGGCCTGATCAATTCCTTCGAAGAAAAGCTGAAGCTGCTACAGTTTTTCGGGAATAGCCCCCAGGGGTTACCCACAACGTCTACGTCTTCGAGTACGAATGCTCTCTTGGATATGACAGCGTCTAACTTAGATCTCGCCCTGATAGGCTCGGCGTTGTCGATTAAGAGCGACGAACCTGTCACATCGCAAGACACCAGGAAGAAGTTGAAACAACGTTTCAAGCACACGGAAAACACTACGACGCCCAGCGATCAACCCGGTATCTGGACGGAAACCGTACCTTTATCCCACAACACTAAAGAGTCCGTGATGGGTCCCTTGGAATCGTTTCTTCGTTCCATAAACTGTTACCCGGAACACGATCAGGGCCGTAGCAAGAAAGACTCGCCTTCTAAGGAAAGAAGGAGGCACGCTTCGGGTCAGTCCGCTAAGTTCCAGGTGCCGCTTTTGCAGCCGTCTTCGCCCCCGCCTCTGAGCGATAACGTCGAAGGTTCCATGCAGCCCTCGTCGTCGACCGGGTTCAGTTGGACGCCCGCTTTGTTGGGTCAGAGGCGTACCAAGTCGCCCAAGCTGCCTCAGGGCGACTTGCCTCTGCCTGAGAAGGAGAAGGAAGGGGGACCCGATGACCACCCGCACTCGTCTTAGACGGTTTCGTAGATTAAACGTAGTTTTAGAAGAACTGGCTCGGAAAAATATCGGTCGATGGCATTTTGGTTAAATTTGTTTTCACCAGTGAAGAACTTTATTATCGTTAGTATATGTCTCTGTCTTGTCTAGATCTGCTTTTCGTTTGTAAAAATTAATTTTATTTTCATTTGTTTTTCCGAGTCGGATCGGTGTCACTATTTAAGGAAGAATTTTCTGGGCTGTTTAAAAAGAATTGTGATTATTTCAGTGGTTCTGTGTGTAATTTTAATTTGCATTGGTGACGAACCTCGTATTTATTTTGTTAGGTTGGTCAAGTAATTCTCTCTGTCTTGTTGCAGCAATTAGTACTTTTTTTTATCATTCATTTTTATAAGTTTTCTATCATAGAACTTTAGTGTAGTTGATGTAGTGTATATTATAAAGTAATTAAATAAATTTCTTGAAAATATACTCATTTAATTTCTTTGAACTTTAGTAATATGATTCGGTGGGTCGGATTTATTTAAAAATGTTGCAAATTTTATTCTCAGAAATTAAATATTTTAGAATTTCTTTGTTTTTTTTTTCTATTACAATGTGAAAATATTTTATCCTTTTAAATTGTTGAAATTTTGTAGTTTATTTGCATTGAAATTAATTAGACATGAACGACTGAATTTACTTTTCTTATGTACAAAAGTTACAGCATTTTTTAATATTTATTACTATGGAGTTTTGTAAGTGGAAATGGTAAAGGTACTTATAATAAACGTAAAAAAAAAAATAAACGCGTGACTAAGGGGGGTTGAAAAGTTGTGAATAATTGTATCATTGGGATTTCTGGCGAAAGTTGATGTCGAATAAAAAGTATCCAATACAAAAGTTGTAGATGATGCAAAAATCTACAACATCTGTAAAGGTCACTTTTTAACACAACCCTAAAATTTCCGAAAAAAATGCGAAAAACGTGTTTTGTTTTATTTTTCGTATTTTATTTCTCCTATCCGCAACAATAATTTAATTGTGACGAAAATATACCTTTTCGTGTCTTAAATAACCACAAATTTTTTTAGATAAAAAATCAGAAGTTTCCAAGATATTCATTTTCGGTCTGAAACACTTTTTTTTCAAAGAAAAATTCTACTTAGAAAAATCATCATACAAAGTTCTGTCATTGATCATTTTTTTGTTTTGACATACTTTTTGATGAAATAAAAAATCTGTAATCATAGTTCAAAAACATACTCAAAAATGCAAAAAATAAAAAAATAAATAAATCACAACGATAAATTTTTCAGTAATTGATAATTTGTTTCAATTTAAAAAAAAATCAAAAACTGATGACACAATTCAATTGTACGGAAAAATACCAAAAAGAACTCATTGTTTGATCCAAAACTTTATTTTTGTACAGTATTGCTATAAACATCCAGGTCGAATAGTGAATAAATAAAAATATAATATGTAAATAATAATTTTTTTCGTAGGATCGATTAGTGCTTATTTTTTTAAAATTTTGATGAATTCATCGATAGATACAGTGTGTCCAAGATAAGGATGGGATAGCATTAGGATCTAGGAAACAGTAAGAGATACGGGGTGGCTCAGATTAGAAAAAAGTTGTGTTTTTTATACCTAACAATATGCCGTTTAGAAAATTTTAAAGTTCCGAGTAGTTCGGGAGATATCCGGAAAAAATTGAAATTTTTGCAAAATCGTTTTATTTTTTTCTGGCTTGATTTGAAAACGAATTTTAAAATCAATTGCATATTTACGTTGCCACATTTTTCGCTCTATCCAATGGCGTCAATATTTTTGCAATCCGATGTTTCGTCTTCGAGAGGCCGTCATCAGGTTAATTTTTTTAAATACATCGCTGCTATTTTTATGACGAAATCTAAAGGCATTTTTAATTCTGAGTTAGATGATATTACTATTATAATCACCAAGTTTCGTCAAAATTAAATTATTTTGCGGAAATAAAAAACGAAAAATAAGAAAAAAAAAACGTTTTTCGCATTTTTCTAGGAAATTTTGACGTTATCTTAAAAAGAGACCTCTACAAAAGTTGTAGATTTTTGCATCATCTACAACTTTTGTACTGGACACTTTTTTGTTTCATGTCAACTTTCGCCAGAAATGATACAATTTTTCACAACTTTTCAACCCCCCAAATGAACCCTCCGCCACCCCTGCTCACGCATTATTTTTTTTTTCGTTTATTAAAAGCCCCTTTACCATTTCGACTTATAAATGTCCAGGTAACAATTTTCTTTTTTCCCCTTTAAATGAGTTATTTCGATCGGTCTAGTAGGAGTATTATATTTTTAGTTTTTTTATTATTTCTCGACAAACTACAGAAACAACAGAAAAAACTGACCATCGTTTCCTTCAGTTAGTCCAAATATGTATAGGGAGGGTCAATTTAGACACTTTTGGGGGTGATAGACAAAAAGTGTTAAAATGTCATTTGATTAAGAGATACAGGGTGTTTTTCAATTTTGTTTGTTTCTTTATGATGTGAAATAACTTCTTTCTTGGGAAAATTTTTGTTTCTTTGTAAAGAGGTTTCTTTATTCAGTTTTTTTTCGTAGGATCCATTGACATATGCAATATTTTTAAGTTGCTTCCAGTTTTTCAGTTAAATTTTTGAATTCTTTGTAAAATTTTCTTTTAAATGATATATCCCATGTAATTTTGTTATTTTATAACTCACTTAAATACAATGTTTATTACTTTTTTGAACTTCTTTATGCTTAATTCTAAAAAATAATTAGCGTTGTAATAACTTTAAAATTCATATCGAACTATGTGACAACGACGCGGTGATTAACGATGTACTAAGCTGTCCACCAATACACAATTCAGTTGGTATCTGGAATTCGACCGTATCAGAGTTTTTTTTTGCGTACCACTATTTCCTTTTTTTGAAGTGTTTTCCAGCGAGTGTGCGAATACTGGATTGGACAAGTCTGCCCCGTGCACACGTGGTATGCACTAGCTGTGTAGCGTTGGGCTAAGCGCTGTTGTCACGTTGTGATGAAACTCCCCAATACTAGTACTGGCTGTATTTTGAAAACTGTTAATCTTACGACCATGTAATATACAACTTTTTTGTTCATTTATGATGACTATTTCATGCTGAAGTAATGGCAGTCAAACTTCTTACACTCTGTATAAGTCAACTTGAAATAGGACATGGTACACCTACCAGAAACCTGACAAAAGTACAATTCCACGGCAAATTTGATTTTTTAATTTCCAAATTTAACGCCTCTACAGAAAATTACTAAATAAAACTTCACTGAATTTTTTTGTCCTTTTTTTTGTTCACAAAAAACAGTTATTGTCATTGAAGAATTTTATAAACCTTCTGTATCGACGTTGATTTAAAAAATCAAATCCCTGGAATGAAATTAACTGATTAAGGAATGAAAAAGGCATTCTTCGGAAATGTCTTTACTTGTTTAGTAAATTTAAACTGAAATTACCGATTGGAACACCCTGTATACGCACAATTCGCTACGAAATACTTAAACTTGTGATAGTGAAGCGTCATGGATTGATCGTTCAATCAATTAGCTGGTAGAGTTCGTTTTATTGTGGGGGTTGACCCGAAGGAAAATCTTATATTCTAAATTCTCGTCTCTCGCTTGACGTATTGATCAAACCCTGTCGTCGTGGGATATCCGAATCGGCAACACGCGAATAAGAAATTACCGCTTTGGTATCCGTAAGTTCTGGGAGATTTATATTAATATTACCATTTTTATTGGAGGCGTTTTTAGGGGTAGAGTTATGGATGGGGGCGATACGTAATGACGGCGATTATCGTACATGATGACGGAGGAAAGACGAATATTTTGTGCTGCCGGAGCCGGCTTGATTTGTACAGATAATACTGGCGTGCGTACTTGTACGGATACATTAATAGTCCAGGAAAAAGAGCTGCGAAATGACCATTTCGCGACTTTTTGTTTCGGCAAGCTGAATTTATCACTATAGATGCTAAAATTATTTCCACAGTAATAAAAATGGGGAAGATTGTTTACAGGGTGGTTAATTGTATAATTTTTACGTAAATTCACATTTTTCGTTCATTTCCACGAGAAAACAGTAAAATTATTTTTTTTTTCGTCTTCAAAAGACCTACAAAACTAGCCCTCGAGCGTCAAAAAATATTGATTAGATCAAAAGTTATAAACAGAGGAAGTTTATTTATGACTTTTGAATTAAACATTTATAAACTGCGTTATTATTACCAGAACGTTTTGGCATCGCATCCTCTTATTCCTTATCACTGTCTAGTAACTCACACGAAATCTGGAATGGGTAAGTTGAATAGTTTATAAGTGTCGCTATAAACAAATTAACTAATTATTACTCTGGACGATCCCGAGGATTTTCCACAATCGCACTGATTTTTTTCATGGTAGATTTCATAATAATACATTGAAATCTATATATATTTTTTTTAATTTCAAATTTGCAACCTGGATTAAAAAAAATCGTCAAGATTCGTTGAAAAACAAAGGAGATACAGACTGTTAAAGTTGTCGGCCTATTGTTAAACAAATTAGGTTGGTAGCGGCAAAAAAAATATACTGTAATAACCGGCAACCCGAGTACTTTTCCAGATAAAAATATTTTATTTATGGAAGTATGTTAAGTGTATAAGAAATATTGTCAAAAGTCAGTGGGTCGCTTGATTTTTCGGCGAGCCGTTGGCGCTGCGGAAGGGTGGGGGAAATGAACCACAGCGAGTCCGAAGAAAATGACGATAATATTCATAGTCCTGCCGTTAAAAAAGCGAAATTCGCTTGAAAATAAAATATTTGACAATTTGTAACTATTATCAATCAATTATTTAGTGAAATAAGTCTAGATATTTTTAATGGAAAAAATGTGCCTGTTCTTCGTTAGAAGGTGCCCTTTCGTTCTAGTATAGCATCGACTTAAGGCAGTAAAATAATTTTTATTAAGCGTGGCATATGATTTTTTAACACTAATAAAAAAAATGTTAGCATGCAGTTTATCTTTGTAAAACTTTCTTACTGGTTGATTTCCCTCAGTGTAAACTAGGATGAAGAGATGAACATGAACGGAAACAATTATGTTCCAACGAAATAATAACTTGGCGACTTAAAAACTTTATTATATTTCGATTGTCCTTGACTGTTTATTTATACATCACTCAAATTAATTGAAAAAAATCCATTAAACACGCCTATTTCATAAATCGTCTAAAACTGATTTGCAAATTTAATGGGTACTAGGAATATTTTAAAGTGAATTAGCATTATTTGGAGGAATATTATTACGTCTTTATCGACAAAAAAATTGCCGTATCAGGTGAAACTGCTTTAAAGTATTCACAATTATTTTTCGTTGCAACTACAATAGATATTTTATTGACAAGTGTATGCAAATACTTAATTTGATTGTATGTATTAACGCCTG